GTCGGAGCGACACTAGGGGCCGCTACACTGCCCAGATCGGCAGCTGAATAGGCACTAGAGGGACTGCCGGGGTCAGTTGCGTCCTGGAAGTCCAACCGGCGACGCACAATGTCACTCAAGATCCCGTGCTCCCTCTCCAAAGCCCGAACAGCTAAAGTCAATTCCCGTACAGCCAAAGTCAACTCTCGAATCTCGGCCTCTCCCCTGCTCATGAAATAAAGCGATACAAGGGCTCCCCACTGCGAGACGGCCGCACACTGGCACGAACGAAGCTGGACCACCAAACGCGGAAGAGGTAAAGAGAGTCGATTAGGGGACCTAAAAGAAACCCTATGAGAACCCCGACCAGCAAAGACGGCAGATGCAAATCCTCGATCGATACAGCCGCGGGGCAAGTCCCGCACGCACTCAGAAGCTCAGCAGCAGCCGGCACCTGTAACCCAGTTGGCTCGTACGCCAAAGCCTCGAGGAAACGGAGGCCGAAATGAGCTAGGGACCCACCTACCAAACTCACCTGTAAGGGGCGAGACATTCAAAGCCAAGAAAAGCTGCACATCCGCTTCGTACATCATGCGCAGTCATTCTAATAATTGAATTCATTAATTATTAGAGTATTTAGGGATGGGGTTCCTTCTAGCAAAATGAAGTGCGGGGCAACACTTCCGAAATAATTAAAGACCATTACCACACTCTGATGATGCGCTGATGGAAGCACACGGGGCACTGGCATCTGGGGCACTCTGTCATAACATAACATACTTCTACCTTTAACTTATTTTAGTAATTCGTCTAACTGGTAAAACTCAAACAACAATTTACATCGCGTCTTATAATCTTCCTAATGATGGTAATCCTCCAGTTCACCTATTATACCACTTAATCTAGCATTATACATTCTAATACTTTTCTTTCACCTAACCAGTCCTTCTTCTCCTCCTTATTTACTGTTTTAGGGCATAAACAATCCATATATTAATATGTATTTGTTTTCAATCCATGCTGTTAATTATGTTCTTATGCTTTAGTTCTTCCAATTCATGTTCTAACTTAATTATTCTTTCTTCTGCTTCTTCTGGTGTAATTGACCGACCTGTTCCAACTTTTCCCCAACCCGTATCAATCGTATCAATATCTTCCTTAGCATCTTTGCTTGTTCTAAAAATGCTCTGGTCATCGGGAGTAGTCCCTCTGCCTGTTCCTAACCGCCAACTGCTCCTTTCCTCCACCTGATTTACTACTGTATTTCCTTGCTTATCGGTCGTTGTTTTCGCTTCCTTATGAAATGCTTTTCTACCACAACGACATAAACTACAACTGACACTGCCTTTGCCAATATGAAAATTGTCGTTCTGTTTTGCTTCTTCCTTACTCATTTATATTTGTTAGATTTTATTCTACAATATTTAATAATTGCCTTAATAAACTCAAGTAGGTTATAACAACACCTACGATATTTAGGTGGTGTTACTATTTGCTCAATGTGTTCTATTTCATTGATAATTTCAATATAATCAGTATATGTTATTTTATTATCCTCCATATATTATTAACGATAAACAATTTCTAGGTATTATTAATAATTACTCCTATAGCTATACCAGTAAATGTAATAATTTAAAGGTTGATTTGGAAAAGGAAAAGTGTTTCTTTGATGAATACATTCCAGAAGAACTAGACAAGGTGACAAAGCAACAGCATAAAGTAATAGAATACCAGAAGCTTAACGACCATAAGAAATTATTTTCAATCTTAGTTATTGTAGATGATTTCGCAGACAGCAAAGCATTTTCAAGAAATAGTCCATTACTAAATCAGTTATATGTTAGAGGCAGACACAACGCAATAAATGTTATCACGGCAATGCAGAAATTCAACGCATTAAGCCCCATCATTCGGGTTAATAGTCGTCAATTGTTTTTCTTCAGGTTAAGAAACTACAAAGAAATAGAAACGATGGTAGAGGAATTAAGCGCCGTATTGATTAAGAAGTCATCCGTGGCAGACACTAAAAACCTAGCAGAAGCAAAGAAACTAATGCTGGAAGTGTATAATTTAGCAACGGAAGAACCGTACAGTTTCTTATTTATTAATCTAATGAAGGGCGATGTGAATGAAATGTTTTATAAACGATTTGATGCTAAATTGGTAATTGATTGATAATATTACCTTATTATAATATTATCGATCTGAATTAATGAATACGAACATAAAGTCACGGAAAGTAATTTATAGTATATTTTATCACTTTTTGTTTCTTCTGATTGTTCAATTCTTTCTATACAATCCTTTGAAGTATTGAATAGTGAAATATCTGTTTTAATTTTTTCATTAAGGTCTAATTCTTTTATCTGTTTCATATTTTCACTGGCTGTAGATTGAGATGGTTTAGAACCCATAGATATACAATAACTTACATTATTTTCCTTTTCCTTGTCCTTCTTCCTTTTCATCGCCTGAACCTTTACCTTGCAATTTGGTAATCTCACCTTTTAAATGTGTTATTTCTTTCATCATCTCTTGAACAGCACCCCATAATACAACATTCATTTTAATATAAATAAGTCTTAAATACTCATAGTCAGTATCTTTCATTACCATTTTTGACCATTGTTCAGGCATCTTTGAATTAGGTATGTCCTGCGCTATAAAACCGATTTCCCTTTCTTCTTTACCAACAAAATTAAATTCCTATGTATTTAACTATATCGTGACATGTTTTACTGCTTATTTCTTTTATGTCTTGTTTTAGTCTAGCGTCTGATGTTTCAGTAGCAGCCCCATTAACATGTAATCCCGCACTTGAAATTTCGCATATATTAGCACCGTTGATACTTAAAAATATTAATCCGTCTGCACCTGGATTATCTAATCTAAATCTTTCACTTGTTGAAACTGTTGAATGTGTAAAATCTAAATGACCTAATAAAGCAACGTTTGCTTCATTTACTGATATTTCGGGTGTGCTTCCTATCGTTCCTTCAATTAAATTAATTGCTCTGTCTGTGTCACCGTTTCTTATATCTAAATCATAATCACTACCATTTAATGTTTCCTTAATACTTGATGAATTTTGAAATCATAACTCACCCCACACATTTAAATTTGCCTCTGCCGTTATATTACGTATACTGTTAAAAATTCGATAATTTATAACTGCTCTGTTTATTGTAATTCCGTTAGTGTCATCCAATTGTAAAGCAATAGTGCCAGTCGTAGGGTCTGCTGACCTTTTTGACTGTAAAGGAAAAATTAATCTGTCCTGTTGAAACAATATTTAACGAGTTAGAAGCATCCGCTGTTTGAAAAATTCTTCCGTTTGTATCTACCCAATAATTGCCTACAGCTGTCAAATTTTGGTTACTACGCACCCATCCAAATTGACTTGTTCAGCCTACTGTTAAATGAAAACCTAAAACCTGACTAGCACCAACACCCATACGAGCATTAGTAGCACTACCTACTCTTATTTCTGCTGTATTTGTATTCTGTAATTCCATTAGTGTCCCTATCCCCGTATTACTGGCATTCAAGCAGTTAAAAATTCGGTTTCTAAATTCAAAAACACCTTGACCGTCTCTTACTCGTAAAGAATAATTACTATCTCCTGAACTTCTATGAATGTCCATACCTGTCCTAGGAATTTGTATATCTCCTGTTGAACTTGTTAAATCTAGGTTACTAATAACTGCTAAATCGGTTGCTACTCTTGCCTGATGAAAATTGGATACACCACCAACATTTAAAAAGTATGATGAATTGTATTGAACACCTATACCAACCTGTGCGTTTGTTTGCGACCCTATTCTTAGTCTATAATCATGTCCTGTATCGTGTATTATCATTTCCGTTCCATTTGCTGGATTAGCTGGGTTCATACATCTAAAGTTTCTGTTTCTAAATTCCCGTACGCCCTGTGTGTGTCTAACACGAAGTGTACAAGAAGCATCTCCAGAATTTCTAACAATATCGCTTCCTGTGTCTGGAACTGTAATGTCACCGATTGTTAAATTGGTTATCTTAACATTATTGGACGGGTTTAAATCTAAAACAGTTAAACGATCATCACTTGTAGCATTGGCAATAATTTTATTTCCTTGTAATGAAATATATTTAGCTTGATTTTTAAATACTGATACAACCCTATCTACCTCTGCTCCAAATTGATTACTAAATAATAACCCTTCTAATGGTTCTACATTTACTGTTGAATTCTTCAACCTTGATGAATTATACCGGGTCTTGATAAATCAGTAACTTGGAAAAACATAGTCTGTAAATGCTGGTTTATCATCTTTCAAGTTTAAGAAGTTATCAATTTCTGTATCCGTGTATCCACCGCCTCCACCTGCTCCTGCTATTAATCCATCCACTTCTGTTTTAGTATAGATATGATTATTAACGCAAGTCTGACTATAAAATACAGTGTTGGCTACTGCTTGGGTATAATAGTTGTTTGATGTTGTATCTAGGTCCGTTTTATTGTAAAAATTGGTTGATAACTGACTATTAGTTTGATAGTTGTTGGTTAAATTTGTACTTGTATCAGTAATACCTGCGAAATTTTGTATTTGCTTTGTGTTTAATACTGATATATCGTTTGTATGTGTAGCTATGTGAGTTGTGTTTGTATCTATCAGTGATATATGAGATGTTAATGTATTATTATTCGCTAAGTCTTTTGAAATCAAAGGTGCTAGACTATCATCTACATCCTGTTGGGATATTCCACCACTGTTTGTATTTACATAATTTATTGTGGCATACAAATCACTACTTAGGTTCTGAAATTGTATCCAGAATATCCTTGTAATTCTATTACTCAATGCTTTTACCATCTACAAAAGAGCACTTAAATTACCAATGTTTCATCAACATAGTACGAATATTCATTTTAAACAGTATCGCGATTGTGGTTAGAAAATGGAAATGGTCATTGCTAACTGTATACACCCTACATCCCTTCTCGTGAAAGCCCTGGAGTCCATGAAGGTCCAAGCAGCACATCCAGCCCGCTGTGAGCCAGAGGCTGCTGCGACTCACACGGCGACCTCGTCGCGGAGGAACGCACACAAAATCTCTCTGAAAGTCGCCTCTCAACACTTCCAACCGTCATCGTCATCACCCTGTCAGCAAATTCATCTCAGAGGCCTCAGCTCAACTTGGCTCTGCAGCTTCAGATGTCGATTTGCGTGGCTTGCGGGAACAAGGACAGTTTTTCGCATCCGTGCGGAGCTGAACCCACATGGGCCAATCTTCTTCTCTATGCTCTGTCGGACTTGCCCTTCTCTGAAACTTGCTTCGGGATGCTAACTTCGATTCTGCGTCGAAGACTCAACCTTTTCAGGCACTCCTAGTCGAGTTCATCCTTGCCGGGAACGACGCCCATGACTCCGAAACTCTCAACGCCTAGCTCGTAACACCGAGTCGTCAAGCATACACAACCTTTGAGAAAAGTCCAGACTGCTGTCCTGCTGCGAGGGTCTTCAACACCAAGGTCCAAACCTTCAGATATGCTCCGAAGTCCTAAGGTCCGAAGCTCTTCAAAGTTCTAGGAGGGGTGACAAAAGACTACGTCCACGAGGACTTTTTCTGAGCTGACGCCTGCCAAATCCCCCGCGAAGGCCATCGCGCACACCGTCCTCATTGGCCAGGGCCCAAGGATAGCTCTCACGAGCATGACAACAGCAATACCGTTAGTGCAAGAACCTCATCAAATCATGCATATTACTCCTTTCAGCCGCCACAACCATTACAGTATCACAATGAAAGACTGTCGGTCACGGATAACATGCTGAGTAAACGGAGACTTCATCAGGATCCCAAAGAAATTACACAAATCTGCGACCGTGTTCAGGACAAGCGAACCCGCATTGTGGAAGACTATAAAGGCCATGGCTCAGGTGAATGCAGCAGGTGAGCAGGTAGTCCAGGATCAGCCATCGCCGTGTCGCGGCAAAGAAAAAGCACAGGGAGATCAGCCTGAAGGATGAGTTCCAAGTCAATTTCTTGCGCGGCGAAGGGTATTGGAGCAGTTCAAGGCCTTGCCTCTCGGGGGGGTTTAGGTCTAGGATTGAAGGCTTCCGCTTTGTGCGCTTTGTCGGCTTGGCTTGGAGCTTGGCCTTGGCACTCGCAGGACTCTGACCTTCTTCCCTGAACGCAACCTCACAACAACACAATTAGCTGACGGGACTGATACTGAAGCCTCTTGATCATTTCATAGGTGTTGGTGGCGTGGGGCACTTTGGCTGAAGTTCTGGATGCCAGGTTCTGGCTGTCAGCCAAGCGACATCCGCACACAGAAGGCGATCCAGAACGCATAAGAGCCAAGAACCCTGCCTCATCAATGGCGGGTTGATTCCAGGATGGTGACTTGAAAAGCTTGCGAATGCGATTCAATAGGACAGGATTTAACTGAACATAATCCTTGGCAACAGTCTGCCGCCAAGCTCACGGCCAATCGCAGCTGATAAAGTCAGTAGCTGCAGCTGCAGCTCAACTACCATGTCCAGTTGCAAGCGCTAGAAGCTACTGCCCTTTGAAATACCGTCTTATGAGTGCTAAATGCCGCACATGGCACCCATGAAATGCGTCAGCACCCCGTGAAACGGCGCCCCTCCTTTCCACAAGGCCAAATGATCCTGCCAAGGACACCGGCCATGGTTCAGTGATGTAAGCAAAGCTTCGTAGCAAATGTCACGCCGGCATGAACAACGACCACCACCGCCACCACCACCACCACCACCACCACCCACCACCACCACCACCACCACCACCACCACCACCACCACCACCGAAAGAACAACAACGACGACGACGACAACGACAAACACAACCACAACCACTGCCAAGCGTCTCCAGAATTTCAGTCAACATGATCCGAATGGAACGATCCAACTGTTGTAGGTATCATGCAACATCATCGCCCGGAACACAATCATCAACGCACCGTCTTGGAGAAAATAGTAGTCTGTTAGCAACGTAAATAGTTCTCTTGCAGAGCTCTGCAGGCAGTCCTCAAGCATCCCAGACACGGCGGGTGTGACCATGAGCAGAACGTACCTTTCTGCTGGCAGCCGTGATTGCACGAGCCCTGCAAATGAGCTCTTCCTTGCGATTCCTGCTACAGCTGGCGAGATCAGTAGATCCTTGCTTCTGCTGCCATGCCTGATGCGCATTGCTACGGTTCAGGTTACCACTTACCACTGCGATCCTCGATAGGCTTGCTATGACTGCGGCTGTTGGTGTTAGTCCTATTTGCCGTTGTTACACGGTTCTTGCTTCTGCAACACCTACTACGTTTACAGCCACTCTTTCTAATCTGCATTTCCACGTTTCCACGGTCACTACTCTTGCTGCTGGCACAGCTGTTTGCAATCAAAACACCACCACCAGCAGCACCACCACGACTTACGACTTCTGCTACTGCTACTACACTGCCACTGCTACGACTACTACGACCACCACCACCACGACTACTACTGCGGCCGCTACTTCTACCGCTACCGCTTAGTTACATTACTGCTGCTGCTGCTGTTCCTGCTATTGCTGGTATCATGCTGATGATTGTGGCCGTTGGTACTGGAGCAGGAGCTTGAGGATTGCTTTGCAATTGTATCGACATTCCTATTCCAATGTTGCTTTGATTACTGGCTGCAGGGCCGGACTGCCAAGATGACTGCGACCACAACAATGACGTATGGGGCCTGTGATGTGGTGCAACTAGGCTGGACCAACTGGCTTCTTCAAGCCTGAGAGATGCCATCTTCGCTGAGATTGAGATTGTACACGCTACTCCGTATCAGTGGGCGTAACCTGATGGGTGGGCTGTGCTGCCTGAATATGTCATGCATGATGCCATGTTCCACGATCTGCTGAATCGCATGGTGCGGCACAGTGCGCGACCTCCCCCTTCTGCTATCTCGTCTGGCCAAGCTGATGGCCGAGGTGCAAGGTGGAGACCTTTGTGGCCGACTGCAGCAGCTCCTTGCGGAAGACTGAAAATAAATGCACACACACACACACACACACACGCGGAATGTCAACTGAGGTTTCTGTAGGCGTAGATCCAACTGATGCCCAGGTCTCAAGTGACCACACAGCAGAGACTTTTGACATGTCAGCACATGGTCAAGAATGTCGAAGGAGCACAGCAAGAAGTAACCCTGCCTGAACCCCAACCCGGCCTGACTACCTGCAAGGACACCGAAAGCGACGGGAAAGACATGGACTCACGCACTGACTGTTTCCGGAATTATACCACAGCTGCAGAAGAACTGGATGGGGTTCTCGGCTTAGCCCCGCGCCATGTCCGGTGAAGAGCAACCGAAAGAAGCAGTACTATCCAGGAGAACCAATGTACAGCGAAGATAGTATACGATGTCACAAGCGGCAGGTACACACGGTTGATCAGACCGTGCTTCACCAGGGTATCCAGAGCTTCGTTGGTGGCAGACTCTGGACCCTTCTGCCACCCCCTGCTGTATGACATGTGAAACAAAAGAGAAAAAACCATGTGAAGAACGTGAGGTGAAATCCCTTGGACACAGGGTTGTCACACACACACACAACAAAATAAAACGGGAGAGAGGGCCCAGAGAAGGATTCAGCCACAAGGCGGCGGCTTGGACAAGTTGTGCCGGTGTGACGCTTCAAGCTGCTAAGGCCCTGGGGCAGTAGCTTCGATGTGCAGGTGCCATGGAACTAACTTGTTTGCCGCTGGAGCAGCACTCAAAATCACGATTAAACGGCAAGGGGTTGAGGTGCACGGGCGGCAACACCGGCACCTGCCGCAATGGACCGCGGACGTAGCTGGTGAAGGCCTCTCACGTGGGCTCAAGACTGGGATCCTCTTCGCTCCGAGTTTTGTGATGCCGCTTTCCCATGTGCTACGCAACGAGCTTCAGCCCAATCTCTTACGAAACCGTCGCCTCCCTGCTCCCATACCAGGTTTCGATAGCTCCCAGAACGAACCTGCCGAGATGGGTGCTTGAGGCTTCAGAGATCAGCATTTTTTTGCACAGTCACCAGCGTTAGAACATGGGAGACGGAGGGTTCAAGAGGTTCTACTGCGGCCGAAGAGCTCCCTGTCCGAGTTGAGGCTGCAATGCGTTTCTGTCAGCTCGAAATGATCCTTGGACTGGCTAGCAGTTGTCTGGGACTAGCCGAAGAGAGAGAAGAGCAAGAATTCCAACACAGCACAGAACGGAGCAACAATTCACACAAAAAGAACAGCATCCAAAAACTCTGATGACGTGAATGACAGCAGAATTAGTCGAGGAACTGGAAACGGAAACTGTAGTAAATATTCGCACGACAAACAAATCACAATGACGATGTTAACCACGATAGTGAGCTGCTGCCGGTGGTGGCAGTAGTAGTAGTAGTAGTAGTAGTAGTAGTAGTAGTAGTAGTAGTAGTAGTAGTAGTAGTAGTAGTAGTAGTAGTAGTAGTAGTAGTAGTAGTAGTAGTAGTAGTAGTAGTAGTAGTAGTAGTAGTAGTAGTAGTAGTAGTAGTAGTAGTAGTAGTAGTAGTAGTAGTAGTAGTAGTAGTAGTAGTAGTAGTAGTAGTAGTAGTAGTAGTAGTAGTAGTAGTAGTAGTAGTAGTAGTAGTAGTAGTAGTAGTAGTAGTAGTAGTAGTAGTAGTAGTAGTAGTAGTAGTAGTAGTAGTAGTCGTAGTAGTAGTAGTAGTAGTCGTCGTCGTAGTCGTAGTCGTAGTAATTAGTAGTAGTAGTAGCAGCAGCAGAAGCAGTAGCAGTAGCCGCAGCAACATTAGTATCAGTGTCAGTACCGGCATCTGTATCAGGGGTATCAGGATCAGCATCAGTCTAAGCAGAGCAGCAGCAGGAATCATCGTCGTCCCCGCCGGCGTCGTAGTGCTACTAGGAGCAGGAGCAGGAGCAGGAGGAGGAGGAATACCAGCAATTGGTGGCTGTGGCAACCGCGGAGAGCAGAGCAGTAGAGCAGAGGGAGCAGAGGGAGCAGAGTAGATCAAGGCAGCAGTATGGAAACACAGCGGTATGCCGGTCAAAACCCGTGAACTCTGTGCACCTGAATCGCCGAGCCTTCCGCACTAAGTCGAGCCACCAACTCTTCGAAGAGCTTGGTCTTGCCGGTGGCGTTCCGGCGCAGCGCGTGGATCAGTAACAACATTGGTGACAGAGATAGTGCATAGATCGTGTCGTTGTAGCTCTGTACACCGAGGGTCCACAAAAGACCTTGAAAGGGGAACGCTGAAACAGAGTGTTGGAGTTCACACTACCGGTTTTGGAGGGCCCCAACCCGAACTGAGCCTGCTATAGCATAGGAGAAGATCAGGGTCAAGAGCACCATCCGCTCCAAGAAGAGCGGTGCAAGCACCACCTGCCCGCGAGAGTTCACCTCTCAGGGCCAAGCAGGCTAAACACAAACGAAGCGCAGGCAGAGCGAGGTGTGTCTTTGGGCTGCAGGATTTTGGGCTTAAAGGCTCCGGAAGGATCAAGGACCACTCGAGATCAGGTAAGGCGACCATGCTGCCACAAACGGTCGTGCGGCTTCAAGGCTGTAATAAGGTTTCGGACTTGGTGCTTAGAGCTTCAAGGGTTCCAGCGCCTCTTATTCCATGCTCTCTTTAGCTTCGTACTCTAGAATCGGGCAAGCTAAGTCTTACTGACATGATGGTGCACAAAGAGCACTACCATAAGCTGGAACCAAAGATCAACAAAAAGTAAGGACGGCAACAAGAGCAATGGCGATAGCAGCTCAACAGCAAGAATCAGAGCTGCCTTGGGTGTGGCATGGCCAGCATGTGGAGCACATCTTCATGGCCTATCCCAACGAAAGGATAGATGATGCATGATACTCTGTCCCGAACCATCGTCAGGCAGAGTCTGGCCACCTTGCGGCCATGGTGTTCCGTGCATAATGAAGAAGCATGTTTCGCCGTGTGTGATGATAGCGGACCACCAGTGGCAGTAGCACAAGCAGAAGCAACAGCATCAGCGGCAGCAGCAGCGGGAGCATCAGTCACAACAGCGGTGGTATTGATGTTCACATCATACTTCGCATCGTGTTTTCTTGGTGTACTTCTCTCTCAACATCCGTCATGTTCTCAGTGTGATAGCATGAGGAGTGTGTTGTCGGGAACGGAAATCACTGTTGTTGCCACATTGTTATCTCTGCTGACCCTGCCCTTCTGATTGGTAAGAGCAGTGTGCTGCCTTTCTGGTTGTCTTCTTCTTCTTCATGATTACTACTGTGTGTGTGGTAGTCAGTGGTGGCAGCGACGTAAAAGCAGCACCAGACGCAGCAGCAGCGCCACCACGATCGTTAATTACCAGGACCCCGAGCAGGGAGTAGCAAAGAGACTCCTTACCTCGGACAACAACACCGGGACACTTCTGCCTTCCGGTAGGCGGCGATTTCAAAGACGCACCAAAGCCTTGGTCGGATTAATTTGTTGTGGCTGCGAGTTGGGATGGAGGATCCAGCACATAGGATTCAGGGACTGTTGCTTACTGGGGTGCTGAACCTCTTTCTGCAGAGTCTGAAGTTTTGGGCTCATGGACCTTGGGTCTTACTTAATGAGCGGCTTCTGGCATCCCCACCATCTGAAGCTTTTTTGGGTTCATGTTGAAGCTCCAAAAATCGAGAACACACACGCACAGGCATGCGCGGGGTTCTCGACCAGGATTTTGAAGCCACTCAATCCCTCGAGGTCACAACCGCCAAACCGCCAAACGTCCTCAAACCTATATCAACTCCCCAACAGCCCCCTCCCCCAAACACGATCCGCGCCTAGAGAGGTAGGAAGGGGACCACAAAATCCGAAGCTGTCGAGAAACACTCCTGGGACGATCCATCACTTATGGTTGGAAATTCCAAGCGTAAGAGCTGGGGTTGCGGATTGCACGAGACATGGTTTGAATAAGCTGTATCATGTTTATAGTACGCTAAGTTGCAGAAGATGTCGAGGGGCTTTGTGGGTTGAGATTAATGGTGGAGGTTTAAATTAGACGTAGAAGCTTCAAGGCTTTTGTCCCGCAGACGCACATACGACCACCGAAAATCGCAGTTGCACACGGAGCTAGGGAGGGAGAGGGGGCAAGTTGAGGGCTCGGGGCAGGCTTGCCGGACAGCAGGGAGAGCTCTAGGACATGCAGAGGTGCAAGAAGCCAGCGATGGCATCGATGCCTTGCCTTTTCTTTTCCTTGGCTTGTCAGTGGGGCTTGACCAATGTCAGGTTAGGGTAGATCGCTCATGTTGCAATAGTTTGTCACTTACCCACCAGTGGTTGATCCCTAAGACGCTCTGCTCTTTGCGCAAACCCAACATAAGGTTCCAGGTATTCGCGCCCAGCTGCAGGGTCCGCCTGGTGGATGCACACCGCATCCATGAAACATTGGTCAGACCTCTCAAAGCGGAGGGGACCGAGGGATGATTAGCAGTGATATTCCTATCATGAACACCTACCTGGGACCAGCATGGATGACACCTCATCCTCGGAGAAGTTGCTCTTAACCGAATATGTATGTGACCTTTTCCACCAACTTCGACCCTACTGCATCAAAGAGTCTACGATAAGCTTCAGAGTCCCAGAAACATCCCAAATCACGAACAAACCAGTGCACACACAACACACACACACACACACACACATTGGCACACCGATACACAGACGCACACCCACTGCACAGAGGGCACAATTCCAGCAATCGCGACGAAAGACTGTCGGGCGCAAGCAGTGCGGGCAGCACCGTGTTTCGGAAGGGTAGAAGCTCTGGAAGCGGGGGGTCAGACGTGTGGAGGCACCGGCCGAGCCCTGGCAAATCGGGTCTTGTGGGATACACCAGATATATGTAAAGGCTGACCTACGAATATGCGCACGTCCGAGACTCATGTGTTGAGATGTTCGCAGACTCGCTGACTCCATGTGCTTGTTGCCACACATGGGACAATGGCCACGAAACTGCTGGAACCTATCCATACAGTTGATAATTGCCGGAATTTGCATGATGCTGCATGCTTGTTTACGGATATGACAATACAATCTTAGCTCATATCACTCATATCCCTGCCCGCAAATTCTGTGCACATTTAAACTGCTTCGAGCTTTCTAACAGGTTGACAGGATTACTACCTAATCATGCAGAGGATAACCGACAAATTTCATGTGCTAGTGAGAGCGCGTTGTTACCATGACAGAGAAATAGAATCCACACCATAACAAGAAATATCGAGACCACAACAAAAAACAACTTCACCACGCCAGCGCATTGCAAACCTCACCACGACAAGGCATCAAAACCTCACCACGACAAGGTTTCAGCAGCAGCAGCAAGACACATCAGCAGCATCAGCACCGGTATTGCTGCCGCTACAGCTGCTGCTGCTGCTTCTGCTGCTGCTTCTGCTGCTGCTACAAAAACCCATCCACAGGCACCTGCTTTTCGCAGCATGCCAAAAGCTGCTGTTGATTTCTGGGGTTCGGGTCAGGAGAAGGAGTGTTCGTGATCGCAGAGAAATGACTAGGACTGACTAGGAGTAGGACTTACAGGATGTCGTCTAAACTGCATGGGAAGATCATCTAGAGGATCATTCCTTTCCATATTGAATCAAATAAAATGCAGAATAGCAAGGCACTACCACGGACCCTCAAGCTCCAAAATCCATCCCCAAGAACCCTCCGGGTGCTTTTGGCACCCGAGTTCCCATTTTGCTAAAGTTGAGAGCCCAAAAACCTCAAAATGGTAACTCCCCCGCGTGTGGCGGGACAAGGGGGCGCAGGGACGCGCGGGAGTCGCCATTTTGCGATTTTCGCAGCCCAAAAACCCCAAAATGGTAACTCCCGCGCGTGTGGCGGGAGATCGAGGGTAACTCCCCCACGTGTGGCGGGAGAGCGGGGAGGCAGGGACGCGGGAGTCTCCGTTTTGCGATTTTCAAGCCCCAAACCCCCAAAATGGGGAGAACTGGGGGCAGGGACGAGCGGGAATCGATTTTGCGATTTTGACAGCCCAAAAAACTCCAAAATTGTAACTCCCGCGCGTGTGGCGGGAGATCGAGGGTAACTCCCCCGCGTGTGGCGGGAGAGCGGGGGGCAGGGACGCGGGAGTCTCCATTTTGCGATTTTCACAGCCCCATGCAAACCCCCAAAATGGAAACTCCCCCGCGTGTGGCGAGAGAACTGGGGGGGGAGGACGATTTTGCGATTTTCACAGCCCAAAAATCCCCAAAATGGTGACTCCCGCGCGTGTGGCGGGAGATCGAGGGTAACGTGGCGGGAGAGCGGGGGGGCAGGGACGCGGGAGTCTCCATTTTGCGATTTTCACAGCCCGAAACCCCTAAAATGGTAACTCCCCCGCGTGGGGCAGGGACGCGCGGGAATCGTCATTTTGCGATCCTCACAGCCCAAAAGCCCCAAAATGGTAGCTCCCACGTGTGTGGTGGGAGATCGAGAGCGCGTTGTTGCCATGACAGGCTAATAGAATCCACTCTGATAGCAGGAGAACGGGGACGCGCGGGAGTCACTATTTTGCGATTTTCACGTGTGGCGGGAGAGAAGGGGGAGAGGGATGCGCGGGAGTCGCCATTTTGCGATTTTCACAGCCCAAAACCACCAGAATGGTAACTCCCCCGCGTGTGGCGGGAGAGCGCGGGAGTCTCCATTTTGCGATTTTCACAGCCCGAAACCCCTAAAATGGTAACTCCCCCGCGTGGGGCAGGGACGCGCGAGAATCGTCATTTTGCGATCTTCACAGCCCAAAAGCCCCAAAATGGTAGCTCCCACGTGTGTGGTGGGAGATCGAGAGCGCGTTGTTGCCATGACAGGCTAATAGAATCCACTCTGGTGGCGGGAGAACGGTGGGGGAGGGACGCGCGGGAGTCACCATTTTGCGATTTTCACGTGTGGCGGGAGAGAAGGGGGAGAGGGATGCGCGGGAGTCGCCATTTTGCGATTTTCACAGCCCAAAACCACCAGAATCGTAACTCCCCCGTGTGGCGGGAGAGCGGGGGGCAGGGACGCGGGATTCTCCATTTTGCGATTTTCACAGCCCCAAACCCCCAAAATGGAAACTCCCCCGCGTGTGGTGAGAGAACTGGGGGGGGCAGGACGAGCGGAATCGTGATTTTGCGATTTTCACAGCCCAAAAGCCCCAAAATGGTGACTCCCACATGTGCGGCGGGAGAGAAGAGAGAGAGGGATGCGTGGGAGTCGCCATTTTGCGATTTTCACAGCCCATAACCCCCAGAATGGTAACTCCCCCGCATGTGGCAGGAGAAATGGAGGAGGGACTTGCGGGAGTCACTTTTTTGCGATTTTCAGAGCCTAAAGAGCCTAAAACTCATCAAAAGCTCGAAACCCAAAAAACCTTGCCACAATATTTGCTCTAAACCATTTCGAGGGCAGGCAGAAAGTCGCAGATCTAACTTATTATTGATGTCCCTGCCCGTCCATGGCAGGCGCTGTCAATCAATGCCAAGTCGGACAAGATTTGCGAATCATGTCGTCTGCAAGCTGCTCATGGAATCATGCACTGTATAAGATAGCCAAGACTCCACGGCTACGCACTGCCAGGGTTGACCCCAAACCCTTATCAGTGTAAGAAAATAGCTTGTCGTTGTGGTCAGAAAGCCTGTCTGTGTGTCTGCAAGCCTTGTCGCGGTAAGGACTTACTCTGATGTGCTAGTTGTCTATTTGTCCATGATTGCTGAAATCGCAAATCTGTTGAATCTTGATCATGCCTTGTGACATGAACCTTCATATATCAATAGAACGTGTGCATGATCCCAACACAACGAAACTACAACTTGATCGATACTTTTGCGGGGAATTAACGATTTGGGAAGCCGGGCGCTTGCCCAGAAAGGACAGAAAGAATCAGTCTGCAGTAGGAGCTGAGAGGGCGGCGGGGGGCGAGGGCTGGGGTCCCATGCGGAGTGTGCTGGCAGAGTTCTCGCAAAAGCGGTCGCTGCAGAAAGCGACGGGAAAGCTCCAAAGCTCTGCTCTGCTCTCGGAAGGCCGCCGCCCGGCCGCCTCCTCTCCTTCCCTTCTCTTTACAATTCCCGCCGCCGAGAAAAGGGGCCCTCCTTCTCGCCGTCACCTGCTGCAGGCCCTGCAGGCACCCCCTGCTGGCGGCAATTCAACCACACCACCATCATCACCAGGATTTGCGGCAACCGCAACGGTAACACATCTTCGGCCCCAGCCACAGCAGCAACAGCAGCCAGAGCGACAGAAAGAGTAAGCGCAGCAATGGCACGTGCAGCAGCAGCACCAGCAGCAGAAGTGGAAGCATCCAGCAGCAGCAGCAGCAAGCATAAGCAAAACGAACGAACAGTCATGACGATGTCAATGGCTTCGTGCAGCTCGGTAGTGGGTGTGTCGCTGGCAGTGAGCTTGCCGGGAACCAACCGCAAACCGACTGGCCTGCTGCAGGAGTCGGGCAGGTAGGGCGCCAGCAGAAGCCCCACGATCACTGAGATAAAACCTGCAACGTTTAGGTCGTTGACAATCGGACTCAACTCTTTGAGCATAGTACCATGTTGCTGCGCCAAGAAGCCACTGCAAATAATCCAAGGCCCCGTCGGGCAACCCTCGCCCTCGGCCCACCAGTCAAGAGCTTCCGGGTTCACGTGGCCGAAGGTGGGGAGTAGATCCAGCCTCGGCTGCTTCTGTGTTCAGGGTGTCAGGGTTTCAGGTGTTGGAGCTCAGGGTTTTGAAGAGGTTCCTACTATTTGTTACAACAGTATATGGAAAATCAAAGCCATGAAAAGCATACACAAGGACAGCCCGGCATCAGGCAGAAACACCAGCAAAGCACCACGGCCGACAGCCAGCAGCCGAGAAGAAAGCGATGGCTGGAGTGCATTCTTGGCTCCGGAGATGCTGTGTTCGGGCGCTTGAGGGGCTTTGGGCGGGCACAAGCATGCTGAGGCAAACATGACCAAGTTTCAAGAGGGAGATATACTTCAGACCACCCCACGTCTCCCAGGTGTGTGACAGGAAGTAGTCGTACCTCAGATCAGACAACGACAACCGAGGAACCTCTAAGTCACGAGCTCAGCTAAGCTGCTCCTCCGCCGGACGGGACCACTCGTAAAGGTCGGTCAAGCGCTCCTCCCGTTTCAGGCGAAACCCGGAAGAAACGACAGAAGACTGGTAAGCTTCTCGTTTTCGGGCATGGTCCTCACCACAATTACCATCACTGTCAACATCATAATCCAGTAGTAGCACCAACAGACAAGGTCATGATAGCAGTCATGCAAAGGACCCCCGATGACAACAATGCCAGCGACGATGCCGACACCACAGCCACCAACACCAACACCCTCACAACCGTCGCAACCACTCCAACTCTAGAAAGAAGAAGAGTACGAACAAGAAGAAGAGAAGAACAATAACAAGAATTAGAACGACGACAAGAACAACAACAAACAACATCAACATCAACGAAAACACCAACAGCAAGAGCAACAGCGACAAAAACGACAAGTGCGACAAGAACGACAACTGAGACAAAAACGACAACCAAAAGCCTGACTTCCGACGCGACTGCAATCACAATGACATGCACACAAAAAGAATGCTAACAGCTGTGCATTCGCTAGCTTGACCGAGACCAAAAACCAAAATGATCGGGGCCCACACAATCTGGCTGCTACCCGGGCTGCCACTAGGACTGACAGTGATGCCCAACGCTAGAACCATGCAAAACATGTGGATTCTGGAGTGCTGATGCTCTGCTGCAGCTGCTCACCCAGACGGCGGGCACAAGAAGCATGGAGTCGTGCGCTCCAAATTTAGATTTCTTCAAAGCTGCGGGCTCAACCCTAGGGAAAGACGACCTCGGGCGTGAGCAACCCAGCAAAACCGACATGCATGGGATCCTCTGGCATGGGCAGCAAAGGTCGGCGCCAAAGACGGCCCATCTGCCGGATGGACTTGCGGAGGGTGATCGCCCGGATCATGCCCTCTGGACATCGGTTTCGTCAGGGCTTTTTCTCCGAGGCTAGGAGTTTCCTTTTCAGAAAGGTAGGTCTAAACCGGCGTTTGGGTCCCGCAGATTGACGGGCGTCAGTTCGACAGCTTCGGCTCTGAGAAGGGTCCAGGGACGCAAAGACGTAGAAAAGGACGGGTTGTATCGTGTGCTGCTAACACATCTGAAGGTTTCGCGAGCGTGGCATCATTACTGATTATTGGGTGCTCCTGTATACTACATGTTGAAGTAGAAGTGAGGTAATCCGGGCTCCGGGAGACCAACCCCTGGCAACTTTGGAGAGGAAAGACGCCGTTTGAAGGACCGTGAAGTTCAAGTTATAGAAAACCTGCAAAGCAAAAATCTGAACATCATGCTTAGCCATCAAAGGACAGTTTTGGCTACTGTTGCTGTACTAGTCTTACTTGCTGCCTGCTGTCGTCATCAAAACCGCGTCTGTATCATCTAGCCACTGCTGCTGCTGACGCCGCTGCTGCCACTTCTCCTCCTGCCCTCCCTCCCACTCCTACCACCACCGCGCTAACGCAGCAGCTGCCACCACCAGACAGCCAGTACTACTTCCATGATACAACATTCTTGTAGTAAGTTTCTTCTGATTGTATGCTCCTGGCTGGGCTAGTCTTGGAGGTACTTCGAAAAACTGTTCTAGTCGCTGCTTCTTCCGAGTATATTATGCTAGAATCAAACACGTTCAACATCGGTTTGGCTGTCGGCTGTTGCCAGTCTGGATATCCCTATTGACCTATCGACATTGAACCAATACTATGTGATGTTCGGAATAGCCAACAGCCGCAATAGCCATATGTGGCGATTCTTAGAGCTGGATCGTGCGCCCTGGAAACCCCCTGGCTCCTGCTCGATCTTGGGATTGGTCAAAGTCTCCAGTCGCTCCGATTTGATGGAAAAGTCCACCACTGAGTCGTCGGTTATCATCCGGAGCCTTGGCTGCAAACACATCCTCTATTGGCCCTCGCTGTTAAGCACGTGGAGTGAAGGCATCCGGATGCCAAAAACCCTGTTTCGAGTTGGAAGAAGCTGAAGCCCTAGGCCAAGATTATGCGCATCATTCGAGCCCGAGCCCGCTGGCTTTTTGCGGCTTCTGGGGGCTTCCCTAGGAGGCAGCTGGCCTTAGCCTTGGCCTTCCGTTGAGGGGTCGAGGAGTCGAAGGGCGGATCCCGTGCCAGGTGATTTTTCGAAGCTGCGCAAGGGAACCGAAAATCAAACGACAGCGCTCTTTTGCAACCTGTCTTAGCCCAGGCACAAACTTCTCGGAGACACCGGTGTCAGTGCATCCGCCTGTGAAGGCTGTGATGCTTCGGAAGCCTCTTTCAGCACCGGCGCTTCTTCCAGTTCTGGCCCGGCGGTCACGACCTCCCAAAGAAGTTCCGTCCACACAAAGGGTTCACATGGTTACGACCTTCGCCGATTCTGCAGATGACAGAGTCTTGCGTAAATCCCGGGCACGACTTCCGGCAAGCGACCTCTCAAAGAAATGGAACTAGGACTAGGCCCTCAGGCGGCCGAAACCTCCAGAGGCTCCCGACGAGGCCTCCTTCGGAGGCTGGGAATCTGCCGCACAGCTCGAGCAGCCGCATTCGGCGGGCAGGAGCGTGGGGATTGGGATCATCCCGGCCGGCCGCTCTGCCGCCGCACGGCTCTACATGGTGTAACACCACCGACTTGACTTCTTCTTGGTAAAGTCTTGGGCCTCAAGTCACAGAGCCCTTGCTCGTTTCATGAGAACAGTCAGCACTTGCAACAAATCGGCAAGCAGCAGTAGCTGTGGCTGTCGACTTGAAGGGTTCAGGACGAAGCCCCTCACACCAGAATGCAAAGCACAAAGATCTTGCGGGTTCGCAGCAAGAACAATGAAGAAACACAAGGCCCGCGGGGCTAAGCTTTATCGCTACCGAAAACAGAACGCGAATTGAGCACCAAGGGTAAACAAAACTTCTCATACCGCCTTCAGAAAACCCCAAAAGGAGGGCTGCGAAGCGCTGCTGCTCTTTCTCCGCTTCTCCGCTCTCCTCCGCTTCGGAGGGCTCCAAGCTCCAGGCGGCGTAGCGCGCACAGAGCTCGCCGGCCTCGGAGCTTGTCAAAGAGAACCTCGGCCGAGAGGAAGAAGGGAGAGAGAGAGAGATGGCACGGGGGGGCCGGGCCGTGCGCTTCTACCGGATTCTGAAAGGCTGGGGTTCCGACGGCCCGATCTGTGCTACGCAACAGCAGCTTGTTGGATGGCTGGCCGCACAGGCCCTCCTTCTCTAACACGTGAACTGGTGAAAGGGTTCATGGCATGCGAGTGACGTAAAAGGGGCATACGTCCCCTCGCAAGCTTCACCAATTTCCACGACCACGGTTGTAGTGCCGGGCAAGGCCCCTCTCCTCGAGAAGTTTCTTGAGCCTTGGCGCGGTGGTCGGGAATTCAGCAGGCTCCGAGTTGGACAGCAGCTGTACGGCAGTCTTTCGCTCATCGTCGGTCATGTGCGGATACTTCAAGCGCAGAGGGCCGCCGTGGAGCGTGGGGCCTGTGGCTCCAAAGGGGAAGCCTTGTACGCTGACCCCGAGGTAATCGAGAACATCGAAAAAGGAATCGATCTCCGCGGGTGCCTTCATTTCCCCGCCACAGAAGACTGAAATCCAAGCTAGGTTGCAGTGTTTGTTGTTGTTCTCCTGGGTGGCGAGGAGTGACCCCTTTGTTGGATCCAGGTATGCTTGGCAGAAAGGGTTGAAAAGCTGGCTCCGGGTGAGATTTGCCCCCATCGCTCTCAGCCCAACATCCTGGTGCATTATGGCATCGTGCGTAGACACGAAAAAGTTCGAATGGCCGGCTACAGTGACAGGGATGTTCATGCGGAAAAGTGTGCTCATGGTTGGGAGCCAGATTTCCTTGTAGTTGTCAAAACCTGGATGGCAGAGGAGGGCCACATCCGGTGCTGCTCTCTCCCTGGAATGGTAAAGCTCATCAAGTTGTCTTACGGTTATCACCGTGTTGGCATATGTAAATTTCTTCTTCATCGCAGACCAGGATCTTATGCCGGGTGGCAGTGCGAAGGCCTGGTCGTTACCAAAGTGTGTGATCTCAACAGAACTTGGAACTTGCAATCCTGCCGCTTCCAGAAGCTCGCCCAATCCGCCCCAGTCTGCACAGCCTTCAAAGTCCGCCGTTGCGCCGATGCAGTGGACTCTAAGCACGCTGCCCAACTCCACCAGAGGATCGACAGCCAAGCAACCGAACACGAGGGTCGGTGCCAATGCAACATTTACACAGTCTGCCGGACGAGAAGGTAAGGTGCCCCAGGTGTAAAGGAGGCTCTGTCGCAAGCAGGCTGCTGGCCACAGGGCTGCACGATCTTCGGGAAAGGTCAGGGAGTCAACACCATGATTGGCGGCAAAGCGCAAAAGGACCAAGTCATGTCGATGAAGTGCCGGGCGTGTCGCAGGAGCATCAAGGTTTGGGAAACACGCAAGCACGGACAAGTTGCTATCCCGTACCGCGATTCTCTGAGATCCAACCTTTACGCCCCAACGATCTTTGCCGGCTTCCGGCGCTGCGATTACCTCACCCAAGCGTCCATTCAGTTCTACTCGGCCTGCTAAGCCTTTAATGGCAACTTTTGCATGGACGGCCAGGGAACTCGACGGTTCGCAGATGGGCTCAAGATTGCATGGCTTGATGGCAATCCGCTGATCCGCTTCCTGCAGCTCCACGGCAAGGCGATCATGTTGCTGCGACACCACGACGCCAGTTTTACCGTTCAGTTCCTCTTTCCGGAGGCCGTGCAGGTACACGCGACTGCCAACTTCCATGGCATTTAAGGATCTGCCCTTCAGCCTGAGCACTCGAGGACACGGATGTACATGCGGGTATATCTGTGAAGATACAGACATAACTCAACACGAGACAGCCTCACCATGCAGCAGCAACCTGACAGGCCTAGAGAATTTCAATACCCTGAAGCCTCCAAGCTCCAAGCCAAACTAACACAAGTCAGTCCACCCAAAAGACCCCCGTACCCCCCTCATCTCTAGCCCTTGCCTGGCCTTACAACCTTCATGCTGAACCACCCAAACTGACATGACAAACTCACAAAGCTCAAGTGTGGTCCCTGCTTGTGCGTCAGCCTGGATCTGGGGGGCTCGCATGCCGCGGCGAGGGTCCAGGCGCAGCAAGCCGCACTCCTAAAAGAATCCCGGAGACGAAGCCGAAGTCTTACTTACAATTTCACGAATGACAAGCCAGAAACCTCAAAGCCGTCCATCGAACCGCAACAGCCGAGGACAGGCCGAGGTCCTCAGACACCAGAGCGATCCAGTGGCCCGGACCGCCACCCGAAAGCATCTCGTAGACGAGCAGGCCGCGCTGGCCTCAGAGAAGGCAGAGGGCTTTCGGTGGGCGGATGCTGGGGGGCAGGCCGACAGCTCCCAAAAACTCCAAAACCCTGGACCGCAAAACACCCAACAACTCTGACGTAGACCCCTGAGCCTCGGTACCCCTGAAGCCCAAAGCCAACGACCCCAAACTCCAAGCCCTGCCAGCCTTGCACGGCAGCCTGTGCCCAACTCTCGACCCAGGCCCTGCAGGAACTCAAGCAGAAAGGGTGCTTCGATCTCAGTATGTCTCGGCCGCAATTCTCATAGTCATCTGCCGGCACATGCATGCAGCGTCATGTAACAGAACACTGACTCTGGCCAAGCCTAACCTATACGCCATCCAACCCAATCGAACACAGGATAGCAGAGGAACACAGAAAAACAATCCATGACTTGAAGTTAGACCACATCATGCGATCTGCAACACCACCCAGCACGACCTCTGCAATGCCGTGCCTGCACTTCACTTCACTTAATGCCGTGCCTCCGCTCTCGCCTCTCTCTCCTCTCTCTCCACTCTCTCTCCTCTCTCTCGACTCACTCACTCTCTCACTCGCGCTCGCGCTCTCTCTCTCTCTCTCTCTCTCCCTCCTCTCTCACCAGAACATAGCACGGCATGATGTCATTGATGGAGCACGCACCGAATGACACCAACCTGGGCATCCGTCCCACGGGAAAGGCTTCCTGAACTACTGTGACACAATAAATAAACCGTCTTGGCATACGTTAAGACTTCGAAGCTGTTCTTGATGCCAAAACTTTCAATCACGTGACCTCTACCTCTCTTGGCTTGGCAGTGACGAGTACGAGCCAGGCCTCTCACGCGCTACCGGCACCACCTCAGGTTCCCACTCGCGCACCGAGCAGAGCGCCTGCCTGGGTGGAATGTCACATAGGAGCCCTGGCTGAGGGAAACCTCTTGGGGCCAAAGAAAGCACCCCTCACCCATGTAGGTACAAAAACGACATGTGATTCAAGCCATGTCGAAACCCCACGGTTGCGACAACGAGGAGTGCGCATGATGTTTTAGGATGTGTGAGCAGATCTGTGCTGGATTGAGCCTACGCGAAACCCTGAAACCCCAATCAAACCTTTTGTTGCCTGATGTGAAACCGAGAAGCTCACCCTCCAAACACTACACTAGAACCAGCCCAAACCCAACAAAGGCCCCCTTCCCTTCTGAGGTCAGGTCTCCGGATCGCCAGTCATCTTGGCCTGAGACTGGGATCTCGAGCATGGGGCTCTAGTCTGTACTTGCAGCGCCTAGCTGTTGCTCGATTATTCTCTTGTGCTTGATGTGAGTTGTGGGATGTTGTGGGTAGGCCGCGTTGGGGTGCGGTAATGGATTGCAATGGGTGGTAGTGAGCGGCAGTGTGTAGTGTGGAAGTAGTGGGTAGTAGTGGGCAGTAGTGGGTAGTAGTGGGTACTGGGTAGTGGAAATGTTTGTGGCGATGGTGGTCACGGTAGCAAAAGGCGATGGCGGTGATCGTTAAGTTGATCTCGCCAACGTGTTCCAGCCTTCTCTTGCAGACAAAGAGGGGTGTCTAGCAAGCGAAGCTCGAGCCAAAGGCTTTCGGATTGACCCCTACAGGGCGCGATCTGTTGCCCGTCTTGGGCTCCGGCGGCGCAGCGCAGGCTTTGAACTGCCGTCGGGCTGAGAGCCTTCGAGGTGCAGACTCGCTGCGTGTTGAAACCTTCGTTTCTGTTGGGATTCGGGCTGGTACACGCAATCCTGCACACGTGTTTTTTGTCAAGGCTTGGGAAAGCGATAGACTCTAAGACTCCAGACTCGACCTTGCTTGGGCCTGCCAGAAAGTGCGCCTTTGCATTCCCAACTCGAAGCTTACTCAAGCCGCACCTGACCTCATCTGCCGCCAGAAACGCGAAGAATACCATATGCGACACAAAGAAACCTTGATATGCAGAAGCTTTGAATGTACTAGTTACTAGTTACTAGTGGTGGCAGTGGGACTGCACCAATAAACCCAACGGCTGCATTAGATTTAGTGATAAGCACATAGCTTTGCAAAACCAACTGCTCTAAAGCCTTGATAGAAATCCTGAAAAAACACCTGAAACGGCAGCCTGGGGTTCCTGGACAAAGTGGCCCAAGTCGTCGGGGTGCCTCCTTGGAAGCTTCGGCGCTCAGTGCGAGCGCTGTGGGCTTTCATGCGCGCATGCTTCCCGGCGAGCAAAGTAGCCGCATCCGATTTGCTCTGAACGCAAGAACCCCATCATCTTCCTACACTGCTTGGG